CTATCAAAATCCTCAAGCACCACCAAGCCTTTGAAAAATTTATAAAAAGTCCTTTAAGTAGGAAATGGTAGATCACTAGATCATGAGAATGCTATTTACTGTTGGTTCACCCCAATTACTTCAATATCTTAACTATCAAACTTTTGCAAGATTAGATTTTTATGTCCTGTATATGATTCCAGGTTTTTGCCAAATATATTTTTAGATGGTTTTTTGTTATTTTTTTCCTTGTTACGCTTCTTTCTAGTAATTCGAGCATCGAATTTCGAATTTCACTTAGTGGAGCTTTGATCTGTCATTAGAAGTGTGCAGGTTTAGGATTGCGCATGTTGTATACTGAACTGAATGGTTGGGAGAGATAATTTGGGTTGCATGGATGATTAAGCTGGTAGGAGTTTGCAGGAGAGGTGCCTTATTGGAAATCTATTTTTGAGAAGTATGTGGATATTGAAACCAGTTTGAAATGGTTTGAAGATTAACTGATTGATGTAATTTGGAATTGTTTGAAGATTAACTGATTGATTTTTTCGGGAATCTTGACCAGTTTCTTTGAAACAATTGATCAATCTATGGTCATCTTATGACTACCAAAACAATTAACAACATTTCTACAATCACATGTAAAATGTCAAAAAATTTCCCAAATGTAGTCCATAGTATCATAGAAACAGGGGCAAGTTCAAGCAAAAATAGCTGCAAAAGAGAACAATTTTTTTTTCAGGGATGCTAATTGGTATACCACCCAAAAGTGGAAACATTTTCAGGCAAAGAGCAAACAAAATTCAGTAAAAGCAAAAATCACTAGAAGTAAGCAAGGGTAAAACATTCATCATTTAAAAATGATAAAATCAAATAATCTCAAAAAGAGTAGAACATTCATCATTCATATTTGGTAATCTACAATATCAAAATTTTAAGCAACATCCCAAAAAAGTATACTTCCATACCAAGATGCATTTCAAAACAATTTGCACAAACATGAGTTATCTTCAAAACGACATTTTCTTTCTTCTATAATATCATCTTTCAGAAGAAGTTTCATTGCCACCCTATAAATTATAAGAATATTATAAAATATTAGTATTCAAATAACCAACATTAAAATTAGAATGTGAAATTTTACATACCATTTGTGAACTTCCTTGAGGTGGATGCTGCATTCGAATTTCTTGCATGAATTGCCTCATTTCAGTACGTAATGAGTTCACCTCCTCTTTGAGATTTACTATTTGACTTAAATTGCTTCCACAACTACTCCTGCAATCATTTGTGTTATGAGGGAAATATCGTGTAGGTGTGACACCAAAACCTTTGGTTCTAACTCTGCCTGGGTGTTGATCGAATCTGCTCGGCTTTCACTCTTTATATGCGTTCTATTAGTTTTCAATGTTGTTTTAATATTAATTTCTTACAACTGCTTCAGTGAGCATTCATTAATGGCCAGGTGTGGTGAGTATCCATGGACCAAGTGCACTAGAAGCTATATGAATAGTTCCCCTCGCTATCCATTCTGGACTTCTATTTTTCTGCATTGGACGTTGGGGCGCAACATTATTTACATCAAGTGCTGGGTTTCTCCATGTATTATATCGTGCCATTTTAGTATAACTATTTGACTAGGACAAATTTTGCAATTTTCTTGTTTGTTTCAGCTGTAATTACTTTCCTTCTGAATTATTTCTGGATTATCTATTAGTCTTTTATGTATGGGATCTGTTTGAACATTGTACTGAATGAATCCAACCTTTTTATGGAATCTAACAACTTTGTTGAAGGTAATCTTTGTATTTTAGGTTATTCCTTTTGTTTAGATCTTTCAATAATCTTGGCATATTTGATTGTGTTTTTTTTGTTTTGTTTTGTTTTCTTTTTGTCTCGTTTTTATTTTGTTTCTGTTTTAGTTTTGATTCAACTCAATAATGCTCAAATATGTTTGGGTGTCTATTTGTTTCTTGTTTTCTTGTGTTTTGAAAATAATTGAAAGCATCAAAATTCTTGGAAGCACCCTAAATTATTTCGGAAAACAAAATATACAAAAGCAACTCACAATACATTTGAGCAGTTTTTGTACACGCAAATTGTGGGTAGCTTAGCAACCGGACATAACGTTTCGACGTAATCGAAACCGAGTTCTTGTTGATTGCCGAGTGCCACTAGACGTGCTTTAAAGCGGGCTACCGATCCATCTGAGTGAAATTTTCTTCTGAATGTCCATTTGCATCCAAGAATAGGTGTGTCAGGAGGAGAGGGAACCAGTTGCCACGTTCCTTGCTTTAGTAAGGCGAAGAATTTTGCGACCATGGCTTGTCTCCATTCGAAGGATTTGTTGGCCTCGGTATAGCTTGTTGGATCCGTGGAATTGGACTCACTTTGCAGTAGGTTGAGTCTGCGGGTTGGTTTTAATGTGCCTGTTTGTGTCCTGGTAGTCATGTGATGCTGAACTGCAGGTTTAATCGGGGATGCAGAGGTGGATGCAGGCGTGGATGAGGTATCTGTTGAGATGATGGGCGAAGAGCGAGTGATTGTGTGATTGGTCGGTTGCGGAATGTAGGAGGTATTGGGAGTTATTGGTTTAGAAGCTGTAGGCAGAGGTAGAAGCATGGATGCGGGCAGATTGGGAGGACTGACGTATGTGGCATAGCTTGTTGTTTAAATGGAAAAGAAGTTTCGACAAACTTCACGTGCCTGGATGTAATGATGGTGTTGATGTTTTTATTTAGGCACCTGTATCCTTTTTGGTTGTCGGCGTAGCCAAGAAAAGTGCAGGAGATTGAGTTTGGTTGTAATTTGTTGTGAGAATGACTTGGAAGAAGTGGGAAGCATTCGCAGCCAAACGTGCGAAGTTGTGAATAATCTGGCTTGGTTTGAAACATGAGTTGTAATGGGGAGATGCTGTTGGTGGTCGATGTGGGATCCGATTTATTAGGTAGACGGCTGTCAAGACAGTGTCCGGCCAATATGAGAGGGGCATTGAGGCCGTGTGAAGCATTGTCCGAGCGGTGTCGATTATGTGATGGTGCTTGCGTTCAGTCAGCAAGACCATTTTGTTCGTGAGTGTAGGGGCAGGATAGCTAATGTTGTATGCCTTTGTGCTGAAGGAAATTGTCAAAATCGTGATTAACATATTCTCGGTCGCCGTCAGTACGCACGTCTTGGATTTGCCTGTTCATTTGCCTTTCAATCAACGTAATAAAGTTAATGAAAATTTTCGGAACATCAGACTTAAATGTAAAAGGAAAAATCCAATAAAACTAAGAGTAATCATCTACAATGAGCAAATAGTAACGAAGTCCCTGATGTGAGGGAACCGGAGAAGGCCCCCAAACATCTGAATGAAGGAGAGCAAGAGGAATGCATTCCTGTTAACGGAAGTAGGAAAAACTAGCTTATGACTTTTACAAGAATTACAAGAACTACAATTATGAGAATGGAACTTAATATGCAGCGACGGGTTATTGTGTGAAATCTTGGTAAGTATGCTTCGGTGAGGATGCCCGAGTCTTTCATGCCAATTTGGTGAGGGTGCATAGACGGCGGAGAGAGCTTACTTGGCCGGTTCTTGGTTCTTGATTGAGATCGGATATAAGCCCTCCTTACATGGTCCTTGAAGCAGAGTTTTGTGCGTCTGCAAATCCTTATAAACGTAGCCGTTAGGATCGAACGTGATAGAGATGTTATTGTCTCTAACAAGATTGGATATAGAGATTATATTATATGAAATAGACGGTATATGCAGTAGATTAGATAGAGATAACGTACAATCCGGGTTGGAAGAATTCTGGTGCCTGAATGAGCAATCGGAATGGTCCTTCCATCCCCTACGGTGATTTGATCCGATCCGTGATAGGAGGAAGCGTTACTGAGATTGTCCGAGTCGTATGTCATATGCGACGACGCGCCCGAGTCAAGATACCAGTCAGTTGAAGTCGTATCGGAGGATGCAAGGAGAGCGTGACCGGTGTTGGATTGAGGGGACGGCGTGATGTAGTTGGCATTATGCCTGTGACAGCATACGTCCGTCGTATGACCCCGTTTGGTACAGATTTGGCATATCAAAGAAGATTTTGAAGCAGTTTTCGTTGGTGGGTTGGTAGCTGTTTGCGTGCGGCCTCGCCCACAACGTCCTCTGCCCCGAGTGGTGTAGAGAGCAGTGTGAGGGTTGGGATTAGATGAGAATCGTTATGGTTCTGCACGTAGATAAATTTCTTCAGTGATTAGCATTGCGTAGAAGTTATCAAGCAACAGAGGTGACTGTAGATGACGGATGGACGTCTTGAACAACTGGTAAGGAGGAGGTAGGCCATTCAAGATATATATGATGATATCTTCAGTATCTAATGTAGAACCGACGGAGGTGAACTGATCGACGATCTTCTTGATGTCTGTCAGGTATTCCTACATAGACAGGTTCCGCAATGAGATATTATGGAGCTCATTCTTGAGATGAATTACCTTGGACCTGTTGGACGATTGAAAGCGAGTTTGAAGCGCCGTCCATATCTCGTGAGTTGATTCAAGATGCATTACGAAAGGGATCACCGGAGTTGAAATGGTTTAGCAGAGCGCTGCAGCGAGATTTTGATCGGTGATGAGCCATTTGGGAGATTTGGGGTCAAGATGTGGAAGATCTTGATCAGCTGACGACGAAGCAGAGTATGAGGGTGGTTCAAGAAACTGAGAGAAACCATTGGCCTTGAACAACTTGAAGATTTGGATGCGCCAGACAGGGTATTTGTCCGGAGAAAGATGATGAGGAACAAGATATTTGAGATTAGAGAGAATGAATTTGAGAGAGGGGTAAAGAAAGAGCTTATAGGTGGAGTCTCTGGTCATGGCTGATGGACGGGAAGATACTGTCGGCGAAGCTTCGGTCGCCATGGCTTGTCCGTGAGATCGACCGTCTTCTGATACCATGTGGAATTCAAGATCTGTCAAGACCAGAGAGAGAACCGAACAGGGATAGAGAAATAGAATTTTGTATATTCCATCACCTACTCAGTGTACAGATTGCCAATATATAACGGATTACATAACATGATGTACGCGTGTGCCGCTGTCATTGGTTGGCATATATTTGAAATAAACTAGCTAATTAGTTTTGTGTTCTAAGAGATTACATTAACAAAATAAGTAGAAGAATGAGAAGAAGTAGAGGAGACTCACAATGAAGCCAGCCGGATGTGTCGTCGCGTGAGGAGAATACGGAGCAGTCGCGCGCAGGAAGGAGAAGAGGGATCAGAGACGAACCCTCGAATGGTCCACTTGAGTCGCGCGTAGGAAGGAGAAGAGGGATCATCGCGAAGTTTAGTTTCGCACGCATATATTGCAATTAGGGCTTCTGGCGAAGCTTAGCGGGGACTAAATGAGGAGTTATTTCCATCGGTTAAAACCAGTGCAATTTGCACCGGTTTTAACCGGTGCTAAAAGAGATTTTTAGAAGCGGATCTAAAACCGTTACTAACAACTGATGCGAAAAATCCAACTTTCTAATAGTGACCATTAGAAATTATAATGTTTTATTTATCTCCTCGAGAGATAAAGATAAGGGATTGTATATAGTACCAAATTGTAGAGTTTTTTTTTTTTAATCACAAGTCTAAATTTCAAAATAAAGATAAAACGTGTATTTACATGTAATTTAATTTCTGTCCATTTTAGTATTTTATGAATTAGAGTTTAAGGTGAAGAGGTAATCAGAATCATGAGATAAATAGAACAAATTTAATTCCTATGAAAATTATTATCTTTCTTATGAGATGACTATAAGGAGAAAACGGCAAAATAAATAACACTAAATATGTCAAATATTTCGTAGATTTTTTATTAGCATTAGCCTTGTGTAGGAGTATAAAAGAGACAAGTTGAGCTCGAGTTACCCTCGATATGACTTTGTCGTTGATTAATTAATCGAGCTTGAGATTGAACTCGAGCTTAATTTTTCACATTCTAATCAGCTCAAGAGCCGGCTCGTTTAACATAAAAGAGACAAAAGTATTCTCATTCAAGCAATTATTATGGCAACTTGACAAAAAGAATAAGATATTAAATGATAAATTATAACAATTCACTTAGAATAAGGAAACAAAAAATTTTTAAAAAATAGCAATTTTATTCTAACTTATTGTGTGTATTAAGTGTATCTAATATTAATATTTTTTAAAATGAGTTTGCTCACGAGATGACGAGTCGAATTAGGTTAGCTCAAATATGGCTTATTACCTCATCGAGTTTTGGCTCACAAGCTATTTATCGAGATGAGCTCAGGTTTACTTACGTGTGGGCCTGACTCAATTACCCCTCTTATTATCATATATTGTATCTTTATTTCATCCTTAAGTTGAGTTGATTAGTGTTAGAAAGGTGTTTGATTAGGTAAGTTTAGAGTCGACTCTATTTGACAAGATAGATTTGAGATTGTCATGTGTGTTTTGGTTTTGGGAAAAAATAAGGGCATAGCGAAAATTAAAACCTAAAGAATTAAAACACAATACAACTCTATAAGATGAGAGGAAAATGCTTTTTTAGAGAAGGCAAATCCCATCTAACACATAAGTTGAATAAATGAGAACAAACCAGTAAGAAAGGGTATTAGAACTACAATCCAAAACATGGACTAAGAATGCCCACAAAAAGAAAAATCTCCAAGATTACATTATAGGATGTTAAAGATTGTCCCATGGTTGCCACTTGGACCATCCAAGAAGAAGAAAACTGATTGCCACTTTGACCTTCCAAAGGAATAGCCTGGTGCATGAACGACATTCATCATTGTCCAAATAAAAAACAACCTTCTCAGCAAATAAATGTCCATCTAATACACAAAACAAAGAAAGACGGCGCAAAAAGGAGAGCATAATCCAAAAACCTGCCAAGAGAAAAATAGAAAAAAGAACGGTAAAACATATCCAACAATTTGCGGATTGGTAAGGAGTTTTTTTTACAATCACCATAGATAACAGACCACAATTTGCTGATCGGTGCTTCAAGGAATTCTTTAGTTTCCAAGGCATTCAACTTAAATTTTCTTCCACTCACCATCCTCATACCAATGGATAGGTTAAAGCCGCCAACAAGCTTATACATAACCTTCTCAAGAAGAAAGTCAAAGACACCAAGAGAAAATGTGCAGAACTCCTCCCTTCACTACTATGGGCACTTAGAACAACCAAATCAATAGCCATATTTAAATCCCCCTTTTCAGTCTCACACAACACTAATGTCATGCTTCTAATAAAACTTGAATTGTCAAGCCAAATGGTGCTAGTCGTGACTCGCAATCCAAACACCAAATCTAAAGAATGGGAAACATGCAGTCAAAAAGTTTAAAAACAGACATCAACTTATTAGGGGAACTCAAAGTGAAAGCCATGCTTTGATAAAAAGAAATAAAATCAAAAATCACTCGCGTCAAGGAATTAAAATACATTCCGGTCTAAAAACCTAGTCTTAAAGAAAGAAGGCACAGTAGCTTGTCACTCTATACTCAAAAAACTCACGAGTACATGAGAAGATCCTTACATCATCAAAATACAAGCTGTTCTCATAGCATATAAAATACATATCCATAATGATTCAGAAATACCCAATACTTGAACTGCCAATGACCCCAAGTTATTCTACCCATAAAGGAAATACCTTTCACTCGCTCCATGTTCTTATTTCTCTTTCTTTTTTAGATGAAGACATGGAGAACAAACCAGCAATTCTAACAAGTGGATTTGAGAAGGACAACAAACATTTATTCCCATTTCACCCCACTTGACATGAACTCTTTAGGGTCAATTTCTCCATCAAAAGATAAGCCTGAACACTCTCATACTAAAGATTGTCCTGCCCCGATTGGGCAAATCAGGTAAAAAGAATGACCTTCTTGACTCACCTAGAGAGACGCTCAACTCCAAAAACTCCACGAAGATAGAATCCATGATGGACTGATCTCCAATCATTCTTAACTAATTTTTGTTACCCTTAAAAAGAATAAAATAGAGAAAAGGATAGAAGGAAGTGATATGTAGCTGTTGAATATAGTAATTAGGTTGTTAAGCCTAAGTGAGTGTCCCAAGGCTACAAACTACATAAGTTGCATAAATATAACTCATTCAAATAGCAACTATTCAAACAATTCTTCCAAAATTGCTAGGAGATAACTACACATTTGAACAATAATGTTTGAAATCATCAAAACTTTATAAGTTGCCAAAAATGTAATGCATGCAAATAGCAACTATCTTAACAGTAGCCACCATGCTGCAACACCTTTTTCATTATCTCCCTTTCACTTCCCAAAGCTTGGAACTGTGTGATGCCTCGTGTCTTAAAAAATTATTTACACTTGAAGACTAACTTTAGAAAGGAAGAAACACCAAGACATTAAGGCATAATTTAGGAATGTTACCATCTCTGTAAATTCCCTCAATGTGCAATTCTATCCCTTTTAGAGCATGCACTCTCTCTATTTATAGGAGGATGATTCTAAAGCATCATGCCAGAAACCTTAAATTGTAATAGTGATTCATTAAACAGTGAAGACATGAAAGGGATACATCTTAATAAATTTGTCACTTACAGCCACAACAAAATCCATTCTAATCTTCATAATATTTATCATTTCATTTGAATATGATTTATATTACCCTCATGAGAAAGTGATCACATCATCAAAATAAAAAAATCTCAGTCATTATTTGTTGACTCCGCCCTTAGTGGTGAGCTCCAATGAGTAGCATATGAGGCCTCAATCGATGATAATTCTTATGTTCCCTAGCACTATATGTGACTATAAGAATCATGCCACTATAGGAATATGCCCCCCTCTTTTGCAACAAGCTCTGCAAAAGTAGTGTGTAACTCACCTTTAGGTCAGCAAGGTTTTACTCCTTGGATGATGGTAGTGAAAATCACTGATGGGTAATTTCCTCTACCTTTAATGTGACAAGCTCCATAATGAGGGAAAGTGTGCAAACACTTAGCTGATGATCTCAAACACTTAGCTGATGATCTCAAACACTTAGCTGATGATTCTTAATGGTTACCCCCATGAAAACCAAGAGTCTAGTATAAGGCATGGTCTATCATAGTGTACTCTGTATGCAAATAATGTACCCTTCAACCATTGAGTCGGAAAAATCAAACTCACATCACAAAGAAAGAAGGGTCAAAACTTCATTGCTCTCCCACACAAAGAAAGAAGAGACACAACTTTATTGCTCTCTCTCTCTCTCTCTCTCTCTCTCTCTCTCTCTCTCTCTCTCTCTCTCTCTCTCAGGCTCAACAAGCATAAGGTTAGTATACAAAAGCTAATAAACATTGCCACTCAGGTATGAAAAAGTATGAAATTAAAATGATCAAATGAAAAAAAAATTATTTATATCTTTCTATCTACATTACTTCAAAGAGTATAATAAAATTATAACTAACTTATCAGTCGCACTCGTGCATTGAATCTATTTTTCACTATCACTCAGGAAATTCCCCAAAGTAACAAGAATGATCCTCAAATTAGGAATCAAGCTCACCTCTAGCCA